AACAATATAAAAAGTACATATATAGAGGAATGGTACCCAGCGGCACCATTAGGCCAGCGCTGAAAAAGTAAGTGAACAGATAATAGCTCTTCGTTTTTATTTTTCTTTGTTTTCGACATTTGTGTTCGACATAGGCAATTTTGGGGTTGAAACTATAAAAGAATGAAGAAGAAAAGCGTATGAGTATTAAGAATTTCTTGTTTGGCCTGCATTGTATACATTTAGTCTGCTTTTGATTTTAGTGAAGTGCGTCATATTAGTGCAGTAAACAATTTTTAATTTTTAAAATAAAAATAAAATCTAAATATATAAATAAAATATAATTTGTGAATTTAACATAAACTAACTGTAAGTATATGCAAAATTAAGTTAATATATTTAAAATGATAATTGTAATTTTTGTTTTGTATTATGTAGATGCTACTGCGTCAAGAACGATTAATTGACCAACGTGCTGCGAATGCAGTCATTCTAAAGCAAGGGTAAAATGCAGTCAGCTGCTTCAATTGGAACAGTTTCCAATTCAATCTGAGAAGGATTTAATTCAGTTTAACGAAGAAATCACTGCCGTTAAAGCAGTTGTAAGTTAAATTATATATGTTTCTTACTTTCAATTTTAACTTATTAATATTTTCACATGTAACAATTACTAACTCATACATTTCTTTTCATCTATTACGTTATTTATAGGCTGCATCAATGAGACGCGTTATGGACAAAGAACCAATTACGTGAAAGATTTCGTGGAATTTTGGAGAAAGTATACTCATAAATTACAACTTTGATGGTACACAAGGTAAGAAGTCCGTAAGACCGTTAAAGAATGTGACAACAGCACTTTTTGGTATGGTATATTGTACATAATTTACTTTAGTGTATACAATAACATACTTTTCTATTTACAGATGCTTTAAGGACAGATGGTAAGCCGGAACAAGTGATAGGGTCGAGCCTGGAAATCTTTTCAAGTCTCTAGTAACAATTCCACAGAAAAATATTCTTTTATATAAATATGTAAATATGTTATATTGTTTTATGTAAATATTAATATTTTAATTTTATAAAACATAAATATAAAATATAAATCATCCAACAAAATTTTTACTATTTTATTTAAAAATCAATGGCATAGGTAAAATTGAAAAGGTATGCTAACATGTTAGCGCTGATATGTTGCATTACAAATTCGAAAAGGTAAGCGAATATATCAGCGCTGAAATGTTGCATTACAAATTTGAAAAGGTAATCAAACGATTCAGCGCTTCCCCGCAATGACATGCACGTGTTAAAGTAATCAGGAGTTTCCCTTGAATAATCAGCGCAAGGCATTACCATTTAGCGCTGAAGCAATCGAAAACCTTTGCGCTGAAAGTCCCGCTGGGTATATTTATCTTCCGGATTTGTTGAATGTGTTTGTAGTTTGTAGGATGTATAGCATTGCCAAGAAAAAGCGTTTTGATGATTATTTTCTTGGTGTAACACCTTTACATTATCAAGGTTTGGCTCATGTTTTGATGTGATGCATTGTGGAGCCATTGTTTTGGACTCAATATTATTTTTATACTTTATTTTATACTTTACGTGTCATTAACTTATTTTTTGTTGTACCAATATATAGTTCAGTGCATATGATGGATCCGTCACCTTTGTATTTAATTTGATAAACTCTATTGAGTTTATACTAAGTGGGTATTTTCGATTTGGTGTTCGATAAAAGCGTTTTCATTGTGTTGAATGTCTTATATGTAATTTTATATTGTTGTTTGTCATATATATTGGATGCTGTAATTTGTTTATACAGTTGAGGGACATATACAATACTTTTATAAATTTGGGTGTTCTGGTTCAGTTGTTGATTTCTTTTAACTTCCAAGATTTTATGAATTACTGGGTTACGCAAATCATTTTTGTTTAAAACCTTATTAATGTTGTTCTTACCTCTTCGTAGGAAATTTTGTCTCTTAACGCTAATGCTCTTATGGTCATATTTTAGGCAGTGTTCTTTATTACATGGTGGGGCTGTCGGATTTTGATATCATTTTATCATCATACAATCATTGTATCGTAATAAATTTATGTCCAAATATGTTAACTGGTCATGATTTTCTTCTTCTACGGTGAATTTGATACTTTAGTGAAAGTCATGAAAAATTTTTAAAGTATTATTTATTCCATCCCTTCTTACAATCCCAAAGAGGATCGTCTACATATTAGTGCTGTTCACATTATTCGAAGTTTTTAAAAATTCGAAGTTCTTCGAATATTCGAATATTCGCATTTCAACGAAGTCTTCGAAGTTGGAAAAAACTTCGAAGTTTTTGTGAATTTTTGTTCTCGAAGTCTTCGAAGTTTAAATGTAGTGAAAAACTTCGAAGACTTCGAAGACTTCGTAAGCAAAAGGTGAAGTGAGAGCGCAAAATGCAAACAAACGTGCATCACACAAATTATTTGAGGGATGAAAGCGTTTGCTTTGTTTGTACGGTTTTATGTTTTTTGTTGTTATTCTATGCAGAAAATTAAAAACATGTTTTTTGTTTTATTTTATTACATAAAATTTATTTTATTATTTTATTATTAAATATGTATTGTAATATATATTATTTTTAAATATGTTATTATTAAATATTTTTTATATTAAATAAAAAATTCACATTTTAAATAACTTATATTTATTATTTATATTTAAAAAATTATATTTATGAAAATTTTTAATATAATATAAAATACATGAAAATTTGATGGAATTTCTTTTATACAATTTTGCTTATACACTAATTTACATTTTATTTAGATACTTCCTTATAATATTATGTATTTCTTTTCCTAGAATAAGGGATTTAAAAATTTTCCATAAACAGTAAAATAATGTGTAACTACAACAAAACATTCAAAATTTTATAATGCAAAAATAAATTTGCGCTTACCTGCGTGATCATCACAGCTCATACAGGTCAAATAATTAGGCATTAATGAGCAAAACTCATTTTTCCATAACTAATTTTCAAGGTTTTAATTTGTGATTTTCTTTTTAAAGGAAAATGAAAATTTTTATAAAATTCCATTACTAATAAAATCCATCAATATCAATATTTTCATATTATTACGTATATATTTTATATTATAATAAAAATTTTCTCAAATATGATTTTTTAAATATAAATAATAAATATAAGTTATTTAAAATGTGAATTTTTTATTTAATATAAAAAATATTTAATAATAACATATTTAATAATAATGTATATTATAATACATATTTAATAATAAAATAAATTTTATGTAATAAAATAAAACAATAATTTTCTGCATAGAATAACAACAAAAAACATAAAACCGTACAAACAAAGCAAACGCTTTCATCCCTCAAATAATTTGTGTGATGCACGTTTGTTTGCATTGTGCGCTCTCACTTCACCTTTTGCTTACGAAGTCTTCGAAGTCTTCGAAGTTTTTCACTACATTTAAACTTCGAAGACTTCGAGAACAAAAATTCACAAAAACTTCGAAGTTTTTTTCAACTTCGAAGACTTCGTTTACTATTCGAATATTCGAATTTCTTCGAATACTTCGTAAATTCGAATATGAACAGCACTACTACATATTTACTTAAAAGCCTCGGTTTTATTTTCATTTTTTCCATGTTTGATCAAATAGTTCCTGCATTACAATATCTGCAATAATTGGTGACGCTGGAGAACCCATGGGCATACCTTTCCGTTTTTATATATATTATTATATAAAAGTAGTTATTGTCCGTGTGACAAAAATTAAGTATTTAGAAAAATAACGGTTTTTTTTATAATGCTAAATTGTTTTATTTCGTTCCATTTAGTTTCTAGAAGTTTTAAAGCTATGTTTATGTTGGGATATCAATAGAGATACGATATGGAAAGATATCATATTCTCATTATCATAAATATATGTATTGTTGATTTTTTTGTTTAAAGTAAAGTGCGTCCTTAATATTGTAGTTTGATTTTTTTGTTATATTTTTAAGAATAGTGATCATGAATTGACACTGCTTAGTATATGCCACTTGAACTTATATGCTTATCCATAAATTCACTTCCATACAAAAATCACTGGCTTCACCAGTGATACCTTGATAATGCAAAGGTGTTACACCAAGAAAATAATCATCAAAACGCTTTTTCTTGGCAATGCTATACATCCTACAAACTCCTAGTGATGATACCAGACTGAATTATAAAACTGACACAAGACTGTGCTCAGGTGTATATAAACACGTTCAACAAATCCAGAAGATAAATATACCATTCCTCTATATATGTATTTTTTATATTTACTGTCATAATATTGTATAATTATTTTCTATATATATGTAATTTATGTTTAAATGGTAATGTATTCTATAATTATTTCTTTATGATATATACTTATATATTGTTATATTGTATTAATATTATATAGTACCCTGATGATGACTATAGATTATAGTCGATATAGCGGTTTTATTAAAATATTTTGAAAACCAAAAACAAAATTTTTTAAAAAAGTGTATTACAAGTATTTAACACCGTGGTTAAATACATAATCATGTTTTAAAAATATATTTACAACTATGTAAATTCATTTAAAAATGAATTTTGGATTATCGATAAATGTAAACTAAAAAACAAAACTTTTATTTGGCAAAAAAATTGTAATAAGTACTTTCTAAAGCATTTTCTAAAGTAGTGAAAAAATAATTGCAGGGCAAATTATTAAAAATTTCTTGTATTAAAGGTGTAAAATTAAATATTTTGAAATTAATTTTGAACGAAAATAAATTCTTTTATTGAAATATCAAAATGGTTGCTTTAAAGTTTAAACTAAACATTTAGTTTGTATTTTGTAAGACTGCGCATTTTGAATTTTTTGCTATAATAACGATTATTGTTTGTTTCTTTAAAGCTTTCAATCAAATCAAAAAATTTATATGAATTTCTGTGTAGTATGATAAGGATGCATTTTTTGAATACGGTTTTTATTTGGTCTACCTCTATGCACCATGTTATTGTAACCAGCATTGATCAATTGAGGTTGTGGTCCAGAAGGGCCGCTAAACTGTGCCACAAATTGATGAGCTTTAGCCTTACCGTGCTCTTCAGCCAATCGCACAGTAAGAGGTTGTGTACCGTGCTCAGGTATTACATTATTAAGAGCAGAAATTGCTTCTTGTGCCTCTTCGCGCTTATTAAACCTGTAAAGACAGTTTTCATAAACCGCAACATTACACGTATATATATATATATATATATATATTAAATACTATATACTAAAAGATGCATTTGTATTACCTGACAAAAGCAACGCCTCTTGGTTTGCCTGTTAGTTTATCTCTTAAGATATTTTTTTGTACTATTGATCCATATTTACCGAATATCACTTCCAATTGATCATCAGTAATGGTACGTGGGAGATTTGTGACATATAAATTAGTATCTTTAATCGATTCACCACCAGGACGAGCGTATGAAACCTAAAACAAAGCATTTCGTAATAAAAAAATCTTTTTTTTGGTTAAAAATAAACTTATTTTTTGTAGCATATTTTTTGTGCTTAATACTGAAACCCTAGTCATAGTGACTTTTTTCAACTTATGCAAACTGTTGTTAAAATGTATTAGTTATTACCAGGGACTAAAAGTAATTAGTCCCTGGTAATAACCAGGGACTAGTTAATTCAATGAATTTCAAGAAAAAAAGCAGCAATAAAAAGTTGTCTAAATTCTAATTTAAGTATAGAATTATTGTTCTAACAACATTCATACTTTTTACAATACGGACGTTATATTTATTCGACTATTAAAAAAAACTCGGATAATAATTTAATAAAAAAATTAAAAAAAATAATTATTATATATAAAATTTTTTTTTAAATCCGATTTTATTTATATACAGTCAATTTATATACTTAAAATTCATAAAAACACAATATCGTGTTTATAATTATATTATTTATTTAATGAAAAAAAAAAAATTTCATTTTACAGAAAATAATTATTTACGAATAATTTAATACAAGAATTATTTCCAAGACCACTGATGATGGGTATTTGGCAATACTTGAAACAGGTATATGGTCAGCCAAAAATTCAATTAATTAAAATAATATAAAAAATAAAATTGTTGTTGTTGTAGTTCATTACTGTTTGTAAAAACGTCTTTAAAAAAAATAATAGCTATTTTTTTGTTTTAAAATAAAAGGCAAAATATACTTGTGTTTGGAAAAGTAATTGGCAGTTAGTAACTTCTACATTTGAGATTTATAATAAATATTAGACAATATGTTCCATATTTTCTATTGATCAGTTGGAGTGGATCTAAGTGCTTAAGTATTTTTTAAAACTTAAAAATTTCTTGGGAATATGAGGTCCTTCGAATAATTTGCTGTTTATTCCATCAAATAATAAATGACTGCTAAATGGGCAGTAGTTAAATCATAATTGGTATGGGCTAAGATAAGGATTTTTTTATGCGAAATCTGAAAAGTTATGGATTTTGTTGTTGTCTCTAGGCCAGTGTGTAGGTTGCATATGAAAGGATACATTCAGGTTGCTTTTTTGTTTAAAATGATATTATATATTTTAACATTATTGGGATTAAATGGTCGAAACCCCCAGTAAAGGTGTTTTGTATTGTTGTCTTCACCTGCAAGAAATTTATCATTATTAAAAGTATTAATGAAATGAGTGAATTTGGTTCTGATTAATGAAACCTGAATGAAATCGATTTTAGATAAATCGGTTGGCTGATATAATCCTCATTTGGGTTCCTGGACGTAGGAACAGCGAAGGGAACGAGAAAGCTGACAGTTTAGCCTGCTCTGGTGCTTGCCTGGATGTGTCACTGGCGGTACCAGTTTATATTACCCTAGAGACTATTAAGAGAAGTACCTTCCTCTACTTTCTGCAATTTGCTAATCATAGATGGAAAGCACTTAAGTTATGTGCAACTTCCAGGTTAACATGGCCTGGAACATAAAATAACCTTTAATAAAAATGGATGCTCGGAACTCATCAAAAAAAAAAACCGCGTGAATACTGTATGACTTAGTACAGTTCTTTCTGGTCATTGGTGTATAAGAACCCATGCAGAAAACTGCGCATTTCACATAATCCCTTCTACAGAAGTTGTGGAAACCCGCAGAAGAAAGAAACTATAATACACTTTCTCTGTGAATGCCCGGCATTGGATTTAGGTTCTTAGAAAGATCCTTCTTTGATAGCTATTAAATTTTTTAATTTCAGCGGGATGGATACTTCTTCTATACTAGGGTTCTTGCGAGAAATGTAGTAGCAAAACGGTGTAAAATCGCTAATTGAGGTACATAGAAGCAAAGAGTATATAAGTTAATACCAACAATATTTTCCGTTAATAAATAATATTTCTTGCGAAATATTTCTTATTAATTGCACTAATTTTTGCAACAACGAGTTCGTTGACATGCATTTCCTGTTTTCGTTGGTAACTTACTTTCAATTATAATAATTCTTTTTCATGTTATTCACCTGACCGGTTAAAAGTGCTGACGCCCTGTCTGCATTATTTGGTCACGTTGAATTTAAAGGTGATGATCAATGTTTGATGATAAGTAAAAACTGTAGAATAAGTTAGTTATAAAATAACAATTCGAAAATAAAGACATAGTCTTTAAAAATAAAATATAAAGGAATAAGAAGACATAGTCTTCCCTAATTTTTATTTATAAAATTATAATATGGAATAAGAAGACATAGTCTTCCCGGTTATGTTATAAGTAATAAAACAATAAAACATAATTTTTTTTAAACATAAAATAAAGTGTTTTATTAAGTTATATACATAGAGTGTGCATCACTCAAAAAATCTTAAAAATGAAGTGTGGGCAATTTCACAAAAATCGGTCGCAGAAATCGGGGAAATAGTATTTGAGTTATTTTTGTGTCACATGGACTCGTTGTGATTCAATTTTTAATTTTTCAGCTTTAACATGCGGGAGAGTTTGGAGTGTTGAAGCATTTCATACTTAATAAGTTTTAAAGAAATTTGTATTGCTTTTCTGCGCTCTGAGCTACAGTTGTTGGTATTTTTATGTAGAAAGGTGCATTTAACAATTGAGAAATCAAAAACAGCAACTAATGAAAATATCAAAGCAAGAAATGTCTGCAAAAATACCAAAAAACTTATTTTTTGTTTACAATCCATTTTTTTTCTTCATTATAGAATTTTCTGTAAAACCGAAATTTTTATTTTCAAGTTTAACTGAAACACATTTGTATAGAAGTAAACAGCACAGTATATTTTGTAAATTATTGTATGTTATTCGCAATTTTATGAAATTTTGGCGAAATTGAGATTTCGTACAATTTTGGCGAAATTTGAACCCTTATAATTTTATATCTACTAATTGAAAAATTATTATTTTTAATATTTTTTACAGCTTAGGATATTGTTACCATTTTTAAATAAAAACATGTTTAAATTTTATTAACAGTTAAAATTAAAAGTGAAAATTTGCAAAAATCCCCCGTGTTTTTACGACTTTTTTCACTACAATCTGCGATACCCAAAAAATGTATACAAGTTTTCCATAAAATTTTTTCCACTAATAGCCAAATGTTAAAGGTTCACAAAAATTTGCAGTTCCCAGTCTATGTTTTGTATATATTTCAGATCTCAGAAATTACTGAATAATTATGCAAAATATGAGCTTCAGTACACTTCATAAAGTTTAACAAAAAATTCAATAAGTAATAATATAAGGACAGTTATTATATTATAAATATTGGTTTCGATGACGATTATGAGTGCAATAGGTAGTATAAGTGCAAACTACCTATTCTTATTGCACTATAGACTACCCCGCTATCCTTCTTTTATTGCGGTTTTGTTTTTAATTTTAATAGTTTATTGTTTTTTTATTATTAAATTATTTTATTGCTTGGTGACTTATAATTTATAAATTCAGTTATTAATATCATATACATACGCTAAGAAAGTCAAAAAACGTCGGCAATAGCAATTTAAATATTAAAAGTGTTTTAATTTAGCCAATTGTAAAATAAGTGAGGATAATGATAACAAGTGCCTTGATGATGTGCTTTCTTCTTCTTTGATAGAACTCGATAAAAATAACTCTAGGGTGTCTAGTAATTGTGCAGTAGAAGCCTACTCTGATCTGGAGTGCAATGACTTCGAAAATTGCATTATATCAGATGCATTTTCCAATTCAAAGAATATAAATATTGATTTATTGTCTTTAAGATACACAATAGGGTACGTAGCTAAAAAAATACTTTCAAAACTAAATTGTGAAGCTTGCAATATAAACTTAAAAAAAGGGATGAAATTTTAACTGCTCCAAGTGAGCTTTTCATCGACTATAAAAATTATAATTCTCTTTCAAATTTCGGTAACCTGTTTGCGCCATCACAAAATTTTTTCAATGTTTCTTGTAAACATGTCGAGGTTTTTAAAAATGTATTCAAAAATAAACCAGATGCAATTGGCATTAAAAGTTTAATAATAGAAATGTGCAATAAATAACCCCTCAGTGGTTTAACGGGCCCTGTAATGAACATCTAATCCAGCTTCTTGATTTTTTAATTCTGCTTTTACTTCGTAAGCATTGCTTGTGGGCCTTAAAGAAGTCTAAAATCAACAAACATTTCTAAAATGTATAAGAAATATGTTAGCTCTACAATTCAAGTTAGCACTTAATATAAGATCAATTAAGACAAGTCTTATTAACAATAATGTAAAAGAACTTAGCCAGAATTTAGTCATAAAATATAGTGAATTTATATTTTTTTTGAATGTTAAGAATAAGAATATTATTAAAATAATTTGTATTATTAAATAACCAAACATTGTAAAATAGATAATTATATTCTTAGAAATAATTAAGTTAAGCAAGTGTCAAATTAGCGAATATTATTAAAGTACATATTTTACATTCTTAGAATTAAATTAAATTGTAATATTGCAAATATTAGAAAAATAATAAGGAACAAAACATACAAAATAGTTTAATAAACGAAATATAAACATATTTAAATATACATACAAATTAAAGAAAACGAACATAATATAAAATGCATATATGTATATACATATGTTTTTATATCCAAAAGAGCATATTTATAACCAAAAGAGCGGTTGAGTGTGATAACGCGCACATATCAATGAAAATGCAGTCTGTTTCCGATTTTATGTTATAGGTTCATTATTCAGCATTTATATTATTCAACTGCAACTGTTATGACGCTCTATTTGTTTTTCATATATTATATATATTATGGTAATTTCCCTTTATATGGAATTTTCTTTTAAGTTTGTTTTTTATTTCTTCACACTTTATGCTTTATGCACTTTACGATGGGAGCAAAACAAATAACAAAGTTTATAAAAGATATAGCCAATGCATTACAAGGCTTAGACTTAGTATTTTGCATTATTTAATTTATTATAATAATTTGTTACCGGGCTAATTGGTCAA